CTTTTAAACAGTTAGATCTGTAAATCTTCTCCTGATTTGAAAGGTTAAACTTCTCAATGACAGCAGAAAAAATAAAAAAAAATAAAAAAAAAGAGAACAACCTATTCCCCTGTTACACAGAAGATTAAGGTACCTAAAATAGTTGAGATCTTTATATTCAAATTAAACCTACAATTCTGAGAATCTTTTTCAAAGTTCAGTGTCTATATGTAAAAGACAGTAATTTTCAGTTGATTTTTATCTTCAAATGTTTTCAAAGAATAAACTGAAGAATTGGTACACTTTATTAAGTCTTTACACCACAGTAACCTTTATAAACTTCCATTAGGTGTTCTATCAAAACCATTCAGTATCTTGTGATAACTTTTAACAGGCTTTCAAACTGAAATTAAAATAGTGATAAACTCTTCTTACGGCAGACAGTAAGAATAAACTGAACTGCACTGGCCAATCTGCCTGACATGCAATATAAAAATCAAATCACTTTGTCCTGTTATATTAAAAGTGAAAACATAGACATTTTATATTTTAAAAACTCCATATTTTGTATATCTTTCTGCATTTTCCCTAGAGAGCAAAGAAAAAGTGCTACCTAGAACCAGATCATAAATACACCTTCTCACCTCCTACAACCTGAACTGCTTGACTCTTTGTTTCCCAACTTATTTGGCCTACTATCTCAGAAACTATTGTCAAGTTTATTGCTGGGCTGTTTTGAGTGTTGAGGACGTTATATTAAGAGTGCTCAGCAGGAGCTCAAAAGCTTCTACTCTGTACCAGGAAGGATTTGATAAAAAATACACGTATTAAAATGGAACTCCGGAGAAAAGCACATACACCAGGCAACTCTCAACCACTTTGGTTTTGGATTATCTATAACACTGGAAGAGAACGTTGGAAGAGCTTTTCAGTTTTATTACTGAAAACCGATTATCTGTTTTCCTAGTTTTGCAACACAGACTGTCTCTTCCTTTCTGCCCTATTCAAATCACATTTGCAGCCTGTAAGGTCAGGTTTCATAGCACAGCTATCAAGAGGGCCCTCGGTTATTAATATTTCCCATCTAATCCCCAAGTGCCTGGGTGTGACGTAAAAGAGGCAGGCTAAGTCCACCTCTGCATAAAAGCTTTTCAATTGCTGTATTACATTTGACTGGAGGATACGTGAAAAGTCACATTCAGACATTGTAAAGTTTTGCTTTACAGCCACTGCATCACAGCACACCTATTAAACGACTGCGTTAAAAATTAATACTAATAGTTGTATATGCAGCTGATTTCTTGGACTCAACTTTCATAGTAGTAGAAGACGTAAAGGCACTATGGGATGTCAGTATTTTTAAAACATTGTTAATAGGGGCTTATTGTTTTCTGCTTGAAGGACATCCACCTATGCCTTTGTTTGAAAATTGCCCTTGCTGCACTCAGCATCCATCTGTAAATAAAAGAAGGGAGTTTTATGATTCTGCTCCTGGTTCAAATCGTGTTGCCATGGAAGCAAACATTGGATTGATGAAAACAGGTCAACTGTATTAAAAAACAAAACCAAAACAAAACACTGCCAACTCCTCAAAAATTACACCATTATTCTTATGAATTGCTTAGTATATTTAATGAGCACTGACTCGTGATCATATAATCACAGAACCATAGAACGCTTAAGGTTGGAAGGGACCTCTAGAGATCATCTAGTCCAACCCCCTGCACACGTAGGGTCACCTAGAGCACGTGGCACAGGACTGCATCCAAGCGGGTTTTGAAGATCTCCAGAGAAGGAGACTCCACAACCTCTCTGGGCAGCCTGTTCCAGTGCTCTGTCACCCTCACTGTTAAAAAAATTTTCCTTAAGTTCCTGTGGAACTTTTGGTGCTTCAGTATGTATGCCCACAAAAAGTGCAAGCAGCACTAGTTAAGTGTTTTTAAATGTAGAAAATATATTTTGCATAAATCTGTAATGGCTGTGTTCAGAATGTTTAAAATAATAATTAGTTCTGTATGATGTCTGTACTAAACAAAGTCAAATGATGCAATAACCAGGTATCTCTACTTGAAGAGTATTCGTATTCTTATTAAAAAGTACTTTTTAAAAAAATCAGAATAGTGCTATTAACAATGCTTGGATCTGGTAAAAAAGAAAGATACTTTTTAGCTTTTAGCTTAAGTAGCGATAAAAATATTCAAGTGGAGTCTCCTTTACTTGAAATCTTATAAAAATACTTGGTGACAGTAAAGATTTAAGTAGGGTATCTGCCCCGTCAACTGAACAAGTGAAAGCAATACATAACCTACCAATAAAATAAAATAAATGCATACCTCAACTTTTTCACACTGCCTACCAAAGTGTTGTCAGTAGAGCTTAACACACCATAAAATTCTCATTCCATCTGCAGCAGATATCAGAAAGTAAAATACAGCTCATGTATATGAATCATGCATTTCTGTGCCGAATCTCTAGGAGATGCTCCCAGGTGCTGTTGTTTCAACACCCCAGCCCCTCAACGCGCTCCCTGGGAAGAGAGAACTCCTCTTCTACCCAGACACCAACAGGTTCAGATGCATCAGATTTGTGTGAGAGGTTCAGTGTAAAGTATTTATTCATCAAATTAGTTTTTACTACTGCATAGCCTAATCTTTACAGAAGAGAGGAAAGGTGTATGGGAATACTGCCAATATGTGAGACTTGCACTCTTGCCCTAGTTATTACTTTATCTAGAGGAAGACAGTGGCGCTGAAGTCCCATTAGCTGAACCCAGTTCACTAATTTGACTCGCCATGTACCAGACAAAAGATAGTGAGAGTACAGTGTATAAAGTCAAAACAAATACTCAGGAAGCACAGGCAAAAACAGCCCCATTTCTCTAACCTGCCATAAATCCCTGCTGCTGGTGAGCATGATCGTGGGACCACAATATCTCATCGCCATCCTTTCTTTAACTGCTGGAAGAAGTGTTTTGACCTGAAAAGATGACTACTGATAAAAATTATTCCAGCAACTAAGACCCACTTAATTGCCAATGGAAGCTGTCTTCGACAGAAGTGAAAATCACACTTGTGTTCATTTTAGAAATAAAATTTATATATATACACAATTATATTATATATATATACTTAATAAATACAAATTTTGTTTCACTTAAACCCTTTTTGACTCCAAAACCTCCAAGAATTTCATAACTCATGTCACAAATTTACTGCAAAATTGTACGTTCTATACTATTTTCTGACTCCCTATCTTATACACACACACACACACACACACACACAAACAAATATCCAAACTCTGCAAAGTTTCTAAGTATCGGAAGTTTTAAAAGATACTGAAAAACTGTCCCTCAGGCAACTTAACTTTCATTCTTAACAGCTTGAGAATTATTTATAACCCAAATTACATGACGTACAATGCTGGAAATGGCATATCTAAGCAGTATTAAAAGATTTTTATGGGGTTTGTCTTCTATTTTCAGACAATAAATGGCTTGCAATAAACGCTGCCTCATTCAGCATCAGCCTTCATCTGTCCCTTCATGCAATGTGCTCATTTCTAGACTGGGGGTCTTTTCCAGTGCTAATCTAGCTTTTCTCCAAACTGAATTTTCTTCATTCATTCCTTTCTTTTTTTCTCCCTTATTCCACAAGTTTTATAGATAATTTATTTTAAATATGATACTAAAAAGGAATTTCTAGAGTGAGTTCATCATCATGCTTTACATTCTGTCCTCTAAAGGAGTGCACATATGCAGGATTTAAATTTGGAGAAAAAAATATTGGCATTCTCCTATGGCCTACCAAGAACCAGAGGCCTACCCACAAAGTAGACAGTCTGCTTGACAATAAAAAAAACTCCACTTACATTTAGTCATATACTTTCATAATATGATGTCTCTGGATATGCTGCCCACAAATCATTTAATTACAATATTATAGTTAAATGGATCAAATCAGTTTTATATTGAAGTACCTCATTCAGTTTAATGCAAATGTTCACACACGACTGATATACAAATACACTAGATTGTCTGAAGACTTGAAAGTCAGTAAGCCAGTTGACATCTGATTCATTTTTTTCAGAGTTAACTCTGCAAGCCTTAAAGCTTGCAAAGTAAAATTGAAAGCAAACTCACAATTCATTGCACAGTCTTGTAACATCTACCACAGAAAGATACATATGTGCTCCTGTAAGATATCTGTAAGGAAATTCAGAAACTACACACAGGATAGGTTTTGTCAAAGAAAAGTAATTGAATTCTTAAAAGCTAAACAACAAGCTTAATGCTTAAAGTCAAAACAATGCAAAACAAAAAAGTTCCAAAAGAAAGATATCTAAGGACAAAATCCCGTGATTTCAGTCATTACACAGAATGCTCCTCACAGCCATCCCTCCCAGCCTGAAAGGAATGTCACTCAGAACAGTTTACCACACAGAATTAAGAAAAGATGCATTTCAAATGCTGTTGTAATTATAAATGTCTTTAACATTGTATTTACTGCATTACTGATGCTACACCCAAATAAGTTCCAGTATTTCATAGATATGATGATAGCTTTTAGAAATGCATCTTGAAGGCTTCTGAAGCTGACCGCACAGGTAGTACTTCCAAAAGAGATCACTTATGTCTAAATTGTACAATGTTTTTTTATAAGCCTTACAGGAAGCAACTCTAAGGATGATGAAGAAGGATCCTAACAGATATACCTGGGTCATGGACTAAACAGAGAAACAACCAGTTCACGTATTAAATTCTTCTTGATGTAAATGAAGTAACAAAAAAAAATGGTGTTTTGTGAAATGCTGCATGAAAAGTACGGTAACAGCAGTTGCCAGCTCACACTACATGAAAACACACAAAACACAGATTAAAAAGGAAGACTCTGAAACATTTCTGATAGTGAAATTTTCATTCTTTTTAATGAAAGAAAACAAATCCACTGCCTGGTATAATTTCAACCATTATGAATGCTATTTGCTACTAAGGCATATCTAGTATTTGAAATCAGACCTACCTCTACAAATGCCACAGTCAAAATGAGGTCCATTTTTGAGTCTGGGAAAAGGGCATTCACTTGTGGAGACATTCCAATTAATATGCAGTTAGTAACTACTGATATGACACTCATAGTTTCAAAAGCCAGCTGAAATAAAGCAAAATGATACTACAGTTATGACCATTATCTGTAATTTACCAGTCCCCAAATTGCTCTGTGAAATCCCTCTCTGTTCTTCAGATCCTCAGGAGGCCCATTATTTTAACTTTTTCTTTAATCCTTTGAGTTCTGTGATATATCTTGTTTGATAATATGTCCAGACTTTGTCAGCCTTAAAAATCAGCAAGGACAAGACCAAAACAAGTTTTACAAAACCACAAAGCACCCCTGGCAACCCTAAGCAGCCTCTAATTTGGGATGGAGGGAGGACACAATCGCAGCCTCATTAAGTCGGGATTCACATTTCTGATCAGTACAGCTAGGTCATCAAGATGTGGACAGCATAGATTTGGACTGACAGAATGCGCAAGATATTAAAACATAATCAGGTTTTTATTTACACATTTTAATGTCTTTTAATATTAAAAGCATTCTGCTATAATTCCTTTATATGAATTTCCATATACTTGCCTAATTAACATAGGTTAGAATAATTAGCTTGGATTTTTTACAATACATGTTTCCTTTGATATTTCCTGATTTCACCTGTATACATCACTGGAAGAGTTGCTAAGCAAAACCAGAAATAACCATCCCCTAGATTTCTCCATCCACCTACTTCACACTCATGGTCAGAACACCAAAATCTCTAGATATGATTCAATATATGCATATATTTTTCCTCCATGGCAGAAACACCTCTGGCCTCAGAAAAGTTTTGCACGGTTATTTTTAGTCTGAATCAGTACGCTGATGCCATCTCATCAGTGGGCCCCAAACTTGTCCATGATAGCGTGATTACTGAATCAAGCAACTGGGAACAGGAAATCCCAGGACTTAATGCAGCACTGCCAGCATTAAATTTAGACAGACTCCTTCTTCGGTCTGTGTCTATGATTCAGTCATAAGCTCACATATTAAAATTAGTTGTTAGATTTAAATTAGCTAGCTTAACCATAAAAGAGCACATAGCTCAGCACAGGTTAGGTATCCAAGCACTTACCTATGTTCAATTTTTTAAACCCTTGCAGAGCTCTATGCTTCCAAGACTAACACATAGGCTGCAAAGAGTACCTGGCTGTCTAGCAGCCTTGTCTTCTCGCAGTAGTGTAATATAACCAGATCCAGGGACTAAAGGCAGGATTTACTTTTTTTTTTTTTTCAAAGACAACGGAAAATGTCACATGGTTGAAAACTCTACAAAACTCACCACAGTTGGATTGTATCTTAAGGCACTGAAGAAGAAAGGTGCATAACAGACCTAATACAGTTTAAAAGATGCTGATGGATCAAACAAACAGCTTAAAGATATTTACTGATTCTTCATTTATTTAAATTAATAACAAAAAAAAAGATTAAAAATAAGCAAAGATTACCTGCCAAACACCTATATTTGCTGTGGGTTCTGCAAATGGACGCTTGTAAACTCTACACATTTTTAAGGCATCAGAGTATATCTCTGTGATGTTGTTTAGCACTGCAAAGACAGCTGCCAGTGGGTAAACGCAGGAGAAAAGACTCACATAACCAAACTGTAAGAACAACTCCAAGTAATCATCAAAAGTGCCCTGAAAAATAAGAAGAAAAAAAAAAAGAAACATTTTATCCTCACCAAAACATATGAAGAAAACAGAATTAAGAATACAATCATATGCAAGCTTCTTTACTCCAAATCAGTTTTTATGCAAATGTCTCATGGCAGAAAACAAAAGATGCTACCTATAGTTAATTTGGAAGTATTTAATTATCCTAAACCTAGTAGAAAATGAAGATCAGAGATTTTCCTTTTGTCTAATGCACTTCCTGCAATATTCACATTACTTGTCCTTACCACAGAAGTAACTGAACAGATTCATCTTTGCAAGCTCCTGAGTATCTCAGTCAAACGGTCATTGAAGGAACACAGGATAGGAAAACAGCAGCATACATTTAAATGTGCAGAACATTCTCATAACAGCAGAATGACAACAGAAGTCCTAATAACTCAGATTGCCTATGAAAGTCCTAAGAAGAATAGTAGTTTGGTAGATAGGTGAGCTTTTTTTTTCTGGATATTTCTGCCTATTTAAAAAGGGTAGATCAGAATTAGTTGACTACTCGGAGGCTGCAATGTCAGGATGTAGCACTGACATCTAAAAAGAATAATGTGCTCCAGCAGAGCCATTATTTGCCAAAAATGCAAAGCATCTATCACCCGATCCTGGAACCAAGAACTTCAGTTCTTAACTGCTGAGTAAGGGTATACATGTAGGTTGTAAGACACACTTACATGTTTGTTTTGTAGTATTAATAACACTTCTCCCTGACTGCAGCAACTACTTACAAAAGTGGTGAACAAAAGTCATTTTTAAAGAACAGGTCTTTGTTGAACAAAAGAATCATAGATGTTTTTCTGGCTGCTGAAATGTCATAAGTGAGTTAAACTGGGATCCAGCTATTGGGCATACCTCTAGACCCACACATTTTCCTATGCCTCAAAATGAAATATTAAAGATTTGATTTTAATAAAGATAATTACAGCAACTACATAAAATTGATTTTGGCTTTTTTTGATGCTTTTTTTCTGATTCCTTCTGTTAACCTGACCACCATCTCCAGCACCTCATGCTCATTCTTTAGCAGACAGAGGCAGTAGAAACCTGCAAGCTCAAATACCAATGCACAAGAATTGGGCGTTGACATTAGCTGCATCAGGCTCACTTTCAAACCACATAAACTGATCTTCAAGCTAGACCTCAAGAAGCTACTCAACCTTTAAAACCATTTAGATTTTTCCCCAGAAATGTTTCGCATGAACTCAAAGAGTTTCAGCTAGATCTTCCCTAAGGACATTTAGGCAGAAGCATTCACTAGAGTGGCAGTCACATATTTGTCCCTGCTGTCATTTTCTCAGGCATGTGCTGCAGGCAGGGAGCAAAGCTTCCCTTTCTGCTCCTCCTTCTTGAAACTGCAGGCTATTCCTCCTGCTTCCTCCCACTTACCTCTTTGCATTTCCTTGCCTTGTACTTACCATGACTCTCGGCACAGCAGAGCACAATAAAAATAACAGGAGTACTTATCTTTCCCCTACTCAATTTGTGATACTTTATGCATGAAACTAGGAATATCATTCAATTTTAAGAACAAAATTCAAACTGTGCTATTATCAACCTGCTGTTCTTATCTTCTCCCGGTGAGAAAGCCACATAAAACAAGCCAGGGCAAGAATGAAACAAAATGAAACAAATTTGGGAGAGAAGCAGCAATAAAAAATAATAAAAAAGACAGGATGAAGCTTTCAGATCTTAAGCAGATTTAAGGCCTAGAGACATTTGAGAAATAAGAAATAGAAAAAGGACAAGTGTTAAAAAAAAAAAACTCAATATTGAAGAGAAAGTGAAGGAAGGAAAAGAAAAAGGGACTGAAATGCAGAATTCTTTCAAGATGCCTGCAAATATTATTTACTAAACATAGCCAAATGCTTCCCCCTTGTGACAGATGTAAACTTAGAAATACTATTGCCTGCTATGTTCACTGCTTGAAAATAAAACTGGTTTTATATTGCCTATTCACAAACACCTTCAGATTAGAAATAAAACTAAGGCCGTGAAGACACAATACCCTGAACTGGACCTGAGACTAGAAGTGGATGCTTTCAAGGCGAAGTCAGAACTCTACCATTGACCTGCTGTGTCCCTTCAAAAAACTTTCTCAGGGCCTGACTATGCAACAGGTGCAGACACATTTGATCTGCCTCTGGGCAAGAAGCGTGACTGGGAGGCACCCTGCTCGCTCTGGATACTCCAGAGACAGCTCAGGCCTGAGGGGCAGAGCTCTTCAGGTCAGGTATAATCCATGCCAAGTGCCATGGCGTAGCTCTGGGGACGTGCCTTGGTGTAACTGCATGGCCCAGTGCTGGACTGTGCTGATTTGTCAGGCTCGGATAGATACTCATTTGGGGATTTCTGTGTTCTCCCTTGTGAGATACAGGCATGCTCTTTCACTATATATCTATTTCCTACTACATAAAATGCAAGAAATACCAACACTCCTATAAGAATGAAAGTATTACTATTTACACAATTTTCCATCTGCAAAGGTAGTATTTCTTTTTCATCTTCTCAATTCAAGGCATTTTATGCAGAAAAAGAGGAACCTTATACCTCATTAAAAACAAATGTCAAACTATGCTATTTGCTATGTTTCATGTAAAGGGTACAATATTTACATATAACTCTTATTCTGCGAAAGTATAAATCACAGCATTAAAATTCTGATGACTGTTTGCAGCATCTGAACAAGCAAGTCAGTTTCTTAGTCTGCATGGCCTTACTATACATATTGACATGCATTTTGTCATCTCTTACAGAAAAGTAAGGAATGAATTTCACTGTCAGTTAAACACAATAAAAACAAACAAAACCCCAAAAACAAAATTCAAAACAGTAAGTGGAGAAGGGAGGGATGATAATTCATTGGGAAATATATTTTCTGAGAGAAATTATCAGTGATAATAGGGCTGTGTAATTCTGTACTAAAATTTTGTGGCTCATGATAAGGAGGTAACTAAATATGTAACTGCTAAATCTTAAAAACAACAAAGGCAAAACTGTCTCAGTTTGATGCTGCCTGTTTTGCTGCAAGTTAACAGGTAGGAGGTTAATGCAACTGGAATGCAACTGGGAAGGAGGATGAGTGTCTAGCCTGTAGTTTCAAGAAGCAAGAGCTTCAAGCAGTAATATTAGCTTGAAGAACCTCTCTCTTCTGTCATTCCTGTCCCCAGCCCCACGCAATAGTGCCCTGCTCTTTCAGGCTGCAGTTCCACTGTTAACTTAAAGTTATCATCACTGAGAAAAAGAAAAAAAAAAAAACATAAATCAGAAGCAGTCTTCTTATGCCCATGCCAGGTGATTGATTCCTTGTCCCTTGAAGACCAGGCATGTGTTACTCATATACTTCTTTACTTCTTTCAGGTATAATGTTGGTTTAGGTTCAGCTGTTCTTTCCCAGCTTCCTGATCCAGTGCATCATATAGCTGTAAAAAATAATACTGACAGCAGAAGAGTGAGGAAGCTGGAAACAAGCTGCCAGGCCAGAAAACAGACAAACGCTCATTTAGGCTGCACTGGCTCATGCAGCTATCAACTACAGCCCAAAAAACTATCTGGTTTTCTATGTTTGATTTCTGTTGTCATCTTAGTGAAGACTAAGATGACTGTGAGATATAGCACAAGAGAGTGCCAGAAACCTAGCTGGGATCTTGAGGACAAAACTACAAGCCAGCAAAGACAGCAGTTCAGACAGGCCCAGAACTGCAGCCTTGGTTGTGACAGTATAAACATCTGGGGGACTGAGCCAGAACATCAAATGTAAGTACATTCTTTAAATTCATGCTAAACGGAGACACAAAAGCAGAAACTGCTGACAGACAGAGTAACAAATAGATGTGCAGAAAAATAAAAAAGCCAAATGATTTTTGACAAGTGCAGGTAGTGCTACTACTAATAGGAATACAAATTTCTATTTTTAATAGTGTCCTGACTAGCATTTACCTCTTAGTAAAATATTTTGTTTCATAGAACTCTGTAAATATTCATACATTATGGAAAAGAAACTCTAAAACCTTCCTACATTGCTGAACCTGGCAAACACTGAGGTTGGCATATGGGCAATGTAGCAAAAATTTTAATTATGAAGAATGACAAGGTCTCATCCTTGAGAGAAAACACGGGGCTTTCATTTGCACTTTCACATGCAAGGGATAATTTTGGCACTAAAGGGGTCTTCAGATGAGTAGCTTACTCAAAAAAAATGACTGAAGTGATGAAATATTTCAGAAACAAAAATTGCTACCACACTTGATAATGAGAAGCAAACAACTCCTTACTGTGTTTTGCGTTGTTTCTAAGGACCATATTATGACCATTGTCCAAACCCAAGGTCTTCTCATCATATATTCAAATTCCCTTCAAAAATAAAATATCTTTTTCTACTCCAAAGCACCTCACTGAGGCTACTTTTCAGCAGGCTACCATCTAACAATCTCTACTGTAACAACACATATGCAACGTACAAAGTAAGTGCCCATTTCTTTCTCCAAGTTCACTTGCTCAACTAATGAAAGGTCCGTATCTGTTTTCTGAGAATACATCTTCTTCATCCTCTTCTTATGTCTCTTTTGAAGCCAGTAAGGTAGAAAGGCTTCTGCAAACTGATTAAGGATCTGTGAAGTTATCAGCAAAGTGGCCAAGCTCTAAAGAAAAAAAAAAAAAAAAAAACACATCTGTGATAAACCTATCACCATTTAAATTTTGTGCATTTCAATAATGTGATAAGTGGTTATGGTAGGACAAAGTAGACCAGTCACCAAAACCAAAAAATAGGATATGATGTGAATAGCTGCTCTAGTTCTCATTCTTTGCTATATGCTGACAAGTGCTAAATAGGGGTTAGATAACTAAATGTTCTGTGAATTCTCTAACTTCTACAAAGTTCAATGTAGGGCAAAGGTGCACACACACCAACAATACCAATGGAATTATGCAAGAAGCTTAACAGTCTCTAAGGCAAGAGAAATTAAGTCTCGCCAAAAAAAGGAATAATCACTATCTACTGCCTTGGGAAACATAGAGGGGATTATTTGTACCTCCAAAAGGTTCAGTATCCACCCCCGTGTCATCAGAAATTAAGATAAAATTATTTTAGAAGGTATGAAACATGGTACAGAATTGCTCTTTTTTTTTTAAAGGAAATCAGAAGTAAAACCCAACTTTTTAGGTTTGTTGGGAGGAAAGGATGCTCCTTGGAAAAAATAAAACAAAAATTTAAAACTTTCTTTAATGTATTTTCCTCTTACTTTTTACCATAAAGCATAGGCAATTTCATTTCTGGTTGATAGCTGTTTTTCCAAATATCTCTTTAGAGAAACAAGCATCTTGATCTGCAGTTCTGTGGCTTTGTCCATTTATATTCAGAACAAAAACATCTTCCTTCCACCAGAATCTCGTGCATTTGAGTTAAAAGATGTTAGCAATAGAAAGCTGGTTTTAAATACTAACTACAAATTATTTTTCCTCTTGTTTTTTCTCGACTCCTCATTGTAGACATAAACTTAGCTTCTCAGGAAGAACATTTTCTAATGTAGAAAGAATGGGGAAATGAAAATTTCCAGCCTCTCATGATAGGGATTAATCAATTAATTTGAAAAAAAAAATACTCGTTTACATGGAGGGAAAGAATTATTCTGTCTTGTTGCATTATTCTTCTGCAACTGTGCAGAAGGAAATGAAATATGGGAACTGGAATTTAAGAAAATACTAGCATGAAAATGAATATAACATATATACTTAGAAAAACAAATCTTAAAACTTCAATCAATCCTTTAGTTTCCTAGTTGCACCAATATTCTCAGATGCTCTTGGAACTCACCTGTCTCAAAAGCTTCATATCAAACAGCACAAAAGCAATGTAGAATAGAGATGCAAAACAATTTAAGAAGTTGAACTGAAAATAAAAATATTTGTTATTACTACTCAATCTAAAGTTCATGGCCTGAGAACAAATGTAGAATATCATCTAACAATAACAGCTTCCATGCGAATAAAACTGTCCATTAAAAATTTCTCTACCATTTTTAACATTTAGGTTAGAAAAATCATATTTTTGTATTTATCCTGTTCATATTTTGAGTAGGTAAGATTATTGCTTTCCTGAAACAATGTCTACAAGCGAAGAGAACTATACTTCAATCATGAAATATGGACATTAAAATTACCTGTCACCATCTACTTAACATTTTTAGGCAGTTTTAGCAGAAGCAGTGCAATAAAAGGGACTCATTTGGGTCTTAAGTTTTCAAGGAATTACCTTATCAAAACATATTCACTGTACAATACATCTCTTAATATATACAACTGTCTCCCAACATATGTTAGTTGTATTTTATGTTTATTCATCTCAAAATGTTTTATAACTTAGAGAAACTTCTCTATTTTAAGTACACAAAAGGTACATGAAAATCTGAAAATGACAGAAAACTTTACCTATCTGCCTGTTCTTCATACTAGCATTTGGGGTTACACAAAATTGTAGAGAGGGGATGCTAGAAAAGCATTAAAATAACACATCACAAGTTCTGATTTTATATAATCTTTAAAAGCTTCTTATACTACATACTTACTACTAAAACCTTCAGAATTAAGTGATTTTGATATGAAGACTCCAGCCTGTGATTTTCTAAAATATCAACAAAATTCTGAATTAGCGAAGAGCAAAAGCATATATCATATAGTAGACATCAAGTTATTCAAAAGTTACACAGGCATTTTTCCGCTATCTAGAAACTTTTTAAGGAACAGTTTATAGGGAATTGATCCCACAACGCTTCATGGGAAAAGAATTCATGCTATACTAGTACTTCACTTAACCTGTTAAGTGCATCTAATACACAATATTGATACACATTTTTTGCTACAGCACTGGTGTTCTTTCTACTGCAAAGTCTTTCCCTCTTACAACATCTTTCCTACTCAGGACAACGTGTTTTATAACAAAAAAAAAAAAAAAAGTCTACTTCTCAGCACTAAATTGTGCCTAGTCAACTTTTCTTTGGTTGAAATCAAACACAAAACTAATCGGAATGCGTTATGAAAAATAACAACACGGGGGCAGAATAAAACCTGGAAATGCTAGTTGTAACTCATCAAACACTTCTATAAGCAAATCCATTAATGCAAATTCTTTCCCTCTCTTACCCCATTCCCTCCCAAGTAATTTTTCTCCAGGTGAGCATGACTCACACAAGAGTCCAACAAGCCCCTAAGGGCCATTAATAATCTAGAAGCATGCAGCCAGGAACAACAAAGGGAAGAAAGAAGGAAGGAGCTTTCAAGTGGAGGCTCCCCTTGTTAGCGAGGGCAAGACATCAATTCAGCACATTTTTGTGGGTGCAGCCAGAGCAATGACCTCAGGTGTCAGAACGAGTACTGCCATTCTAGCACAGTGTTTCTACCAAGTTATTAATAAAATAGAGGCTAACTGCCTTGGGTAAGACACCACATTAACAGGACTGCCCTTTTCAATATCCCAAGCTAACGCAGTTACCTGCCCTGGGCATTTCAGTCTACCTGATCAGCACAACTTGGCATTTTGTATAAAGTATTTTCCTTGCAATATAATAAAAGAAACAAGGCAGTCAATTGCGACCCACATATGACTTTACTACTTAATGCTAAAGTAATAACCTTTGGACAGTCATAAACAAATCAAGACCTTGCTTTCTTTTACTATGGCTGCTGTCAGGTTCCACTTGCTGAGCGAATGACTTTGGCATGCATAACTAACCCCTGCTTCCAAACTACTTTCCATTTTGTCTTCTCTACTCATCTCCTATTCGCTTAATCTTTCTTAGGTTAATTTTCTGGGTCTGCATCTTCAGTGATCTGGATTTCATTCTAAGTGTACATCAAACTGAGCTACACAAACCACTTAGATGTGCATTAGCTTCATCTGTTAATGTGGTCTGAAATTGAGTGTGCATGTCCACAGAAGTGCTAAGATTCAACACAACCACTATCATTTCCCTATGGTGATGCGTGATTACAGAAAAACAAAGCCCAATTTTTATATATAATCAAGTGCACAGGGTAAAAAAAAAAAAAAATGCATGTCCACAGAAGTGCTAAGATTCAAAACAACCACTATCATTTCCCTATGGTGATGCGTGATTACAGAAAAACAAAGCCCAATTTTTATATATAATCAAGTGCACAGGGTAAAAAAAAAAAAAAAATCTGTTACAACATTACTCCTCTTTTCAGGATGCCTTCTTTTCAGGATGGAAAAATCTATCAAAGTGAAATGTTGCTCTTTATCATATGTATCCTACACACACATTTCCTCATAAGACATTTAGTTAATGTTTTTAGATTTTTATGCTACTGACTGTCTTCTGTAAGGATATATCAGTAGACTAAGATATATTCATCAACTTGAGATTGTGGTTTCACAGCACTGTGGATGTGTGCTGTCAGGATAGTCCCTCCTATCACCCAGCTTTGAATTCCCACCCTCACGTTCTAACCTCTTCTCTTTTGTCAACACTATGGCTAATATAGCCACACACAAAGCAAAACCAGGGAAGGGGCAGAGAGAGACTGACAAGGATGACAGGATCATCCCTCTTGCTGGCACCTCAGACAGAAATCAAATTAAACATGAAACTGCAGCCTCAGTACACTGGAAATAAGAAATGTAAGTTAAAATGGCCCTCTCTTTTCCCAGTGAACAAGAACTCATATGTAGTCTATGCAGGTATACATAATGTATTCTACTAAGACTACTAAATCCTAAACATTTGGGATTCTACTCTTCTAAGCAAAAGGAAGAATAAAAAAGTTTCTTACCCCATGACGTTAGGAATTCAGCAGCATACCGGTAGATGCGGTTCATGATTTCAATCACAATAGCATAGATGATGCTGGGAACAAACAGCATCAAGCTGCTGAAGTTAGATTCGTTCTCCTTATGATAATCCAGAGCCCACTGCTCCAAGTCAAAGTAAATCATCATCACATACAGTGAGAAGTAGAGGCAAAGGCACACAAATGGCAAGGACACCAGATAAATTCGTAACTGCCTTCTAATACTGGAGTACACGGGTTCTTCCCTCCCAGTGACAGGATTTACACCCAGAACACCATGGAATCCTGGCCTCGGCTCTTCAAACTGCCGCTTCATGAGCAGGGTCCCCCAGCGGTACGTCATCACGGCACACAACCGCTTCCAAACTTCCAGGATTACAGTGGACCAAAGGAGATTGAATGTGGCAAACATCACATATTTATCATAGTCCTCCCATGCAAACACGTAATATGGAATTCCAATGACAGCCATCGGAATCAAAGCAAATGTGAAGTATTCTAAGAAGCCAAAGTAGAGAGCAATGGTTTCGCCAAAGTAGCAGCGTATTTCATCTGTAGAGAAAAAACAAATCAATTAAGACTGCACTTTACACAAATGTCTGTATAATATCAAAGTTGAATTTACATGAAGTCCATGGCCTAAATTTCAGTTTTCTAAATATCCAAGCCAATATTACTGCTTTTTTGTTCCTCTTTCTCCCATGTTCCAGAAATCCGGAACAGCTGTTTAAATTAAATGGGTGCATGCATGTGTGCATGCCTCTGTGTGTGCATATACAGACACATACATACAAAAACATGTACAAATGATGGTAGGGAAGTCAAATATCTCAATACCTGCAACACCAGCACCAAATATCCAGAGGAAAAACACTAGCTTTCTTGAAAGCAGAATCTATCAATGAATAGATAAGATAGAAATGAAACTTTAAGAGGGAATGATAGCTGACTTTTGAAGCTTCTCGTTGTTGTTTCTTGTTGTTTTGTTTTTTCCTCAGTTTGTTCAGGGCCAAAAGGACTATTATCTAGAAACGACACCACATAAGACATAGGAATACTTAGCAAAAAGTCTAAAACGCTGAAATCTCTTTACCTTTTCCTCCTTGGAAGATCAGATACTTAACGCTTGCAGGCTGCCGCTGTACAATCACCAACATAACAAACAGCTGTGGCATGATGACCTCTGAATTGACATCACTAGTGTTCTCCACAAAACGCTAACACACAAAAGCTTGTATGTAATACTAGAATATCCTTATGGTAAAATGTGCTTTGCAAAACACTACAGTAGAAGTTCATAATGGCCAATCCGTTAAGTGGTAGTCATTAATACCATTTCACACTCCAAAGACACCATATGAAAGAGATCCCTAAATCACTGCATGTGTAACAGGGTTCTTGTGATTTACTTTGATTGGTACTGAGTACCCATGAACTTTCAAATAAACTCCACTGTATAAACAAGAGACAAGTCATAATCAAATACTGTAGAGGCAGGGTATTACTGAGACAGATCTATAACTTCCTATAGCTTAGGAAAAGACCTCACGTAACAGATGGACAACAGGATTAAAAATCAGGCAATCTCCCAAATCTCTGTTTTCCTATTTTTCATTCAAAATCCTGTGTAACATCAAATATTTTCAAATAATTAAATCAAATATTAGACACACTTTGTACCCTTCACATGTGGAATATTTAAAAGAACCTGGTCAGTACCGGACCTCAACCCTCTGCTCTTCTAGTTTACTAGTGAAAGTCAATTCCAGGAAGCCTTTCACCTTTGAAGACTGTGTCTTCCCTGCTCCCCTCCATTCAAGGGGAATGATTATACAAGATCATTTCTTCTTTCTCGTATCTTAAGATTCAGTACTATGATAAAGGGTAACACTGCAGATGGTGAGACTTTGAATTGCCCTCCAAAAGTATGAAACTATGACTAAAGACTTAAGGCACAGAATTCCTAAGGCCACGAGAAAAAAAAAAATCATTGAGAATGCCCAATGCCCAATAAAGTAACTTGCTGCAGAAAGGTGGTATGAGAAGAGGTGAGCTGCAGTCAATAAACTGACATAACAAAGTATATTCATAGTGAAGCTACAGGCAATAGAAGACTGGCTTCTCTAGTGGCTACATAATGGATTAGAAGTTGGGAAAGGCTTTGGGCCTTCTCATAGAATCTGAACAGAAAATTTCTCCAGCTTCAAACTTTGCACTTTATTTGCAATGGAGTAAATGTTCGCATACCTAAAGGTTGATAGCCAATTTTGACTCGACCATACCAGGTATGCCGGAGCTTCTTCAACTCTTCTTGGTCATGCAGTGGAAAAATCTGAACTAGGATACCATTGGTCAATAATCTTCTCACTAGAAGAAAATAATAATAATTAAAAAAGGCAAAATTTAATGTATGCATAAATGGATTACCTTGTATACTTAGTGAGTCTACAATTTCTTTGAAAAAAAGTTAACTGAGTATTCAAATCTTCAAAGTACATAAAATGCCTGCATGTTAGTTAAACATCATCTATTAAAGACAGCATGAGTTTTAACTTTTTCTAGAAAGAGTATGTTGAAGCGCTGTTCACAGGAAGAAAGAGAGTAGTTTTTATATATCTCTTAACTAAGCCACAAGTTGGCAATGTAATCAGTTGCAGCCTGAATAACAGATCAAAACTCAAATGACATGTACGATTATGCGGGGAAACTTTTATCTCACATTGTTAGGTCTGGCTATTACATTTGAACAAAGAAAGTCACACCAAACTAAACTAAAATAGCAAAAAATAAGACAAAAACTAAATTGCAAGCACCATTATTATATTTATTATAGGACACTAAAAACATTTTTGAATGATCAATTCATACTAATTCGTAAGTTGCAATGCAACTCCACTGGAAACAACCCAAATATTCTACAACTTGTATTTACCTCTTGCTAGTAATACTATCTATGTTGATAAATCATTAAAAATTGCTCTTAAAGTAACAACTGTGGAAATATCAAAAAGAAAATAAATTCAAAAATAGGAGAGGGGAGGCATTAGCAGTTAGATGAAAATGCCTGCCTCTGTGAAAAGCTAACAGTGCAAATTCATCTGACATCTATATTTACACACATTTATTGAATCACTGATATACACAGATCATCCCACTTAGGCAACTAACACTAATGATTTCATACACTGTTATTAAAAGGGCATACAGATATTAAGTGATAAACGGGCCATTAGAAAACTGTAACATCTGTGCCAATGGACTATTCCAGCTACCCTAAAAATAGTACTAGCTGTCAAACAGAAGAGCTCTCAAACCAAAGATGAGGATGAGGATAAATGAAACGAAGTGAATGAAATCAATCTTCCTTTATACTGTGAAACTGGTAGCTCTAAAACACTATTACCAATTCCAATACTTTTATAAGGAGACAATCCAAATCCACCATTATCTAATATAAACACCAAATAGGATGGTTCATGGCATGTCCCTTCCAACCTCAACAGGTCACAAATCTACCCCAAGACAGTAAATATAGTTCACACTATTTTAATTCTTACTCCAAAAAGAAGCAACTACAAGTTATTACCTACTCACAGAAAAAGTAAATACTTAGTCATGAGTGGAAGTATTTTTATTTCAGCTATACCTTGTGGTTTTACCATTAGTTAAAGCAATTTATTTACACAAATATTTTGGGTACCACTTATAAAAACAATTGATGTCACCAACATACTTGAAAATCTTAAGTAACTTAAAAGAATCTAAGAACAGAGTCAGTCTCACAGAAAACCTCCATTTGGAATGACTCCCTGCAAGGCCTCTGGGTCCAACGCCTGCTCAGAGGAGGTCCAACTTGTATCAGGCTGCCCAGGGCCTCGTCCAGTCAAGATTTGGAGAGATTCTCCAAATAAAGAATTTCTGCAACAAGCCCGTTTCGATGCTTGATTACCCTCACTATAAAAAACTGTTTCTTAGTGCCTTTTTGGAATTCTTCCTTTTTAAATGTGGATTGTCGTCTATCACTATGCACAGTTCCAAGAAGAGAAAACAAAGTTGAATAACATTAATGTGACTTTAAAGTTTGATGGATTTCTCTTCACTTAAATTCTTTTCACCGTGAACAATCTCGCAAGTCAAGGGAGTGAGTTATAGATAAACTACATTACTTACCAATTGATTTTCCTGGATATAACTTAGCCTGGGGATATCCAGGGATGATTTTTTCATCTTTAGCTCTCAAATTTTCAAGTTCATGTTTGATGATATATTGACATTCTGCTATTGTAAGGAAACTGTGATTATCATCTAAATCAAAAAATAAAGAACGAAATTTTGTGTCATCGTAAAACAACTCTGGCAAAAAACAACTACCAAAAACAACCACTATCAGAAAAGACATTACTATGTGACACAATTACAGCTAAACAGCTTTGGCTAGCAACTTAAAATTAATATATTAGGAAAATGTTTTCACTAACTGACTTGCTGCATGTTTGACTGCACAAGTCAATCAAGGGAAGAGGTCCCTCAAGAGACAAAGACACCCTTGAACTACAAACTGCTGGAAGGTGGGAGAATGTATCAGAAAGTACTACATACTTTTGCCTGGTTACTTAGGTACCCACTATTTGGCACTCAGAAAATGTCTCTTGTTACCTACTGCCTAGAAAATATGATAAGGCACTTGAGACAATCAGCTGTGATAAAAACCATAGAAACAGGGTTAAATAAAAAGAAACCTTAAGAAAAAAAATCACAAATTTTAAAGAGCTACAGCAACAATCTTATCACCAGAAATTTATCACCATGGAAGCAGTCTAGTTGCCTTGAGGTAACAGTCCATTGATTTTTTTTGTAATGTCCTAGCTATAAAAAAGTACACAAATGATCCTAAATGCACTAAATAATGAAATAATAAACAGTAATATATAATATAATAGTATTTAAATTGGGGAACTGGAAATACTAGTTAGAAAACACAGGTGACATGGTTTCACTCTGTGGATGACACGTGTATTGTTTCAACTAATCCATGTCAATTATTTATTCTTTGATCAGGTAACATTAGACAGACAGTGAAAACAAGCTGCCTGAAGCAATCTAGACAAGACTTAAGTGATGCTGCCATTAAAAGAAAACAAAAAAAAAACAAAAAAAAATAAAAAAAAGAGAGATGGAGACAGGAAGATCTAGCACAAACGACTTCTGATTTCTGTGGTAGCTGGGAGTCACAGCTGCTACTAGAAGATCGGGTAGCAGTGACAGTTGGATTAGCATTAAGAACGTGAATGCATGGAAGAACCACAGATGGGAGCTTTATATCTTGCCCAACCAGATACATCTAGACTTTCTAATTTCAGGAGAGCAAGGTCACAAAAGAAAACACGCTGCAGCAATTACTGGACTCAGGAGCCTTTTCAACAGTAGAGCTGAATAAATTGGAATCAAGCAATAATGACAAAAATTAACTTCCAAAAAGCTTTATTGCTGTTTCATATATACCCAAAAATCTTCATATTGTGGTGAAAGAGATCACTGAAGCAGGCAAATTAAAAGTATTCGCAAAGCTAAACTGGAACTCCAATACTGGAGAGCAAAACAAGTTCCACCATTACTATACAAGTGGGTCAAGTACCATGCAGGTGGCATCTTTAAAAAGAGATAACATTTTGGCAGCATCCCCAGACTAAAAAGGAAAAGGAATGGTTTCTCTCCTAATCTTGCCCCACACTCAATGAATGTAAAACCCTTGTGCACAGTAGAGAAAAATATTACTATTTTTCTCCAACTAGTCACAGTACAATAAATCTCAAAACTGGTTCATAATTTTTGTTTGCTTTTTAAGCAATGAAGCTGTAAAATTAATTCATAACATGGACTGTTAATCCTGCACCCATGTTCATCAACTATATCTTTCTAGTCTTAGCCTGTACATAAGGTTTTTGTTGAAAATGAGAATACTTAAAACATACAAAAGCATAAAGCTGAAAGTGAACATCACAGAGAAGAAGAAAATACAGATTAAAACTGTCTAGTTTCCTGAGATAAAAAAAAAAAAAGTTTAATAACTCATGGCTTGTTCTTCATCAAAGTCACCGTTTCAGAAAATGTAGACCACGAAAGACTTGGTAGTGCAATTGGTTATAGCCTTCATCCATAAACCTATAGAGACAGAAGAGCCCTAGAAATGCTTACCCACAAAATCTTTGAAAGTTTTGCGACTGCTGTATGTAAAAGTTCTCATTGAGTTATCAGTACATTCCTTCACCAAACCAACAGTTTCAGCTCCCAGCAGCAGCCGGAAGTGGGAAGCTCCAACTAGGTAAATATTTTGGTCTCCATTTTCTGTGACCAGTGGTTTAACCAGCAGCTGTGCACCTGTACAGAAATGTAAAATAAAGAAAACATAAAAGTTATGTCTTGAAACACAGGACCTAGTTATCAGAAGCACTGAATTTGTAACTTTATAAGGGTACAATAAGAATTGAGGCTTCAACAACATCTGACATGAGGTGTTCAGGATCTTGCAAGGTTCCTCCCTAATTCACTCGTTTATGTGGGAGTACTGAGAGACATTGTACTGGGATACACAAGACGGTTTGGATCTATTCCTGCAATACTCACAGTTTTAGTTCTGTAAATTTGCATGACACAAGCATAAAGGCAAATCAAACACTGAAACATAATACTGGATGGCAATTAACAGCAAAGTAGTGTGACTGGCAAAAAAGTAGTTCTTAATAAATTATCTGAAAATTTGTCATATGTCTTGATATTATAATGAGAGCCAACTCCATTTCCAAATCGTACAGAAGTCATATTTTACTCACCTCCATTCGCCTTTTTGTCCATGATTCTTCTTGTAAGCCATTCTCTAGTTTCCTCTTTAGTGTTTTTCGCAAGCTCAATTACTACCAAAGGCTTGAAGTTAGGCTCAAAGTTGTCTAAGGAAGACCAGCTTTCCTTCATCTTTTGAGAGCTTGCTAAGTATGAAAACAAAACAAAAAGGCCAGTATGAAAAGTAATATTCAGCATTGCTCTGAATGGCCCAAAGCTTTTCTGTAGCAAGTTACAACCATGGGTCTCTGCTCAGCAAAGGAACAGGCACACATTTGAGTGGAAGGAGTGGGCAAGGAAAGGTTTGGGGGGTTTCTTCCTGCTGTGAGCTTCACTGATTTTAGTGTACATGTACACTAAAATTGTACATGTACAAAAGAATGAAATTACTTAATACCTAAGTATTTTGCTTTAAGTACACAACTGATTCACATACAGTTCACAGAAAAAACACGATCCCCAATATGTTATATAATTCATGCTATAGAGTGATTCTTTAAATAAATACTTATCATAAAGACATGTCTATTTGCTTTTGACTAGCAAAGTAGTTTTCACTCCCAATTTCAACTGAGTTTCCAGTTTGTTTCCTTGCAGGCAGGCTTATATGCACATACTTCGGCAGCATTTGGATTTACGTCTTTGAACAGATCTATACAATAGAGATCTATAAAAGCAATACAGTCTTTAAAAGTACTCATTAAACTAATAAAATATTTAAATTACATTTTAGATTAAAATCTGCACAAGCAGGATGATTCAGGCAAATGTAAATATAATCAATGATTCGGCTTTGTATTGTGATTATGTCAATGATTCACTACATTGTCTTGTTAAGTCACTCCACCTTTGTGATTCACCTTTCATAATCAGCTGTGTTTTCTTTCAAGAAAGGTAATACTTGCCCCATTGGTCATACTGCAGCTTCTGAAGAATTTTAAAGATGAAAATGACTATGCAAGTTTTAAATATTATTTATCACATTTATGGTTACAGTTATTATTAGTTAACCATATTCCTTTAGAGCACAGTTCTCTTCTGAACGCATTCTTTGTATAAACACCATGTTCTTCAGGAAACTTTGCTCCCGTTGTTTACAGCCTGCCCACAAGCTACGTGCACTGTGCCTGATATAGTGATTCTGATTTGCGGTTTATTCTTTTTACATTTGCTAGAACTGAAACCAAAATCAGGGCTACAGCATTCTTCCAACTTATGTGAATTCATGCAGACTGACACCACAAACTAGTCTGATTAAACACACGTATTATCAAGCACACTCAGTAGGATATAATTTGGTGTTTTCTGCTCATTCTTATGCACAACATATGTTATCACAGATGTAAAAATAAGAGGAATAAAGGCAAAACGCTTTTATTTTTTTCTTCCCTCTTTGCTCCACCGTTCCCACCAGAGAACAGCCTGGAGCTTTGCCGGGGCCTTTCCAATGCCAAAGCCCCATCTCGGCGCAGAGAAGAGGCGCAGACGAGGAGCGCAAAGGAAGCAAAGCCCCTTCCAAGGCAGCAGCGTGCACGGGGCCGGGGGGACTGCACTTGGAAACACCACCCGGGTAACGGCGGGCACCGAGTCCCCGGAGGCCTGCCCCAAACCTGCGCCCAGACCGCAGCAGGAGGCCACAGCACCGCGCCTCGCCCCAAGCCCACATCTCAGCAGCGGGCCTGGCGCTTCCTTCTCCCCTGGGAAGGGAGCTGGGGAGGAGTCGCCCCTCACCCCCTTTCCCACACACAACGCGGGCCC